CCCCCCCCGACGGGGGTCCACCTCGCCTCGTCGTCGCGCTGCGACGGGGTTCGGAGCGCCTTCGGCGCGCGGTGGCTGCCCGCGACGGGGGTCGATATGGGGCGGTCGGCGGGGAGACGCCCCCCACCCACGCTTATTAAGAAACTCGGAGTACGATGCCCACTAACAAATGTTGCTCAAAACCGACAGTGGCCGCTGTTAGGCAGGCGGCCGTCTTCATCACATGGAGAACGACCGCGGCGACGCCCACAACGAACCCTGTTCGGACTGAACGAGACTGCTGCTGGACTCTGCACCCATTGCGTCCGTACCCATCTCGGTCGTCCCGATAGACGTGCCCCTGGCCCAAGGTGCCCCCTGGGAGCCCCTGCGTGGCCCAGACGGCATCTGCTGAGCACCCCCATCAGGAGGCCCAGTGGGCCCCCCGGGGGCTCCGGAGCGAGCAAGCTGCACCCCGGGCCGGGGCACCGGAAGCAACACCCCGACTGCAGCGGGCGAGGCGAGGCGAGGCGAGCTGCCGGTAATGTCCGCAGCCGCGCTGGCGCGCGGCCGCGCGCCCCGAAGGCGGCGGCGGTGGGGCCCGCGGAGGAGGAGGGGGTCCCCTGGACATCCGCGGACGACTGCCCCGGGATGCTCCTGGCTGGGGGCCGAGACGGGCGACGGCGAGGCGAGGGAAGACGGGGCGGGAGCGGCGCGAGGCGGTCCAGGAGGGGGGGGGTGGAGGACGGGGAGGAGGGGGGGAGGGGGAGGCGGAGGAGGGGGAGGGGGAGGGGCAGGAGGAACTCGCGTGCGACGCGAGCTCCGAGGCTCCGGAGGCTCTCCAAGGAGGGCGGGGATCACAAGGATCCCCGCCATCAGGAGGGTGCGATGTCAGGGGAGAAGTGGGCGAGGAGCCGAGGAGGAGCGGAGAGAGGGGGAGGGAGAGCGGACGAGGAGGGGGAGGAGGAGGGGACAGGGGAGGCGGGGCACGAGGAGGGTGCGGAGGGGAGAGGCGGCGAGGAGGGCGAAGGGGGAGGAGGAGGGGGAGGGGGGAGGGGGATAGGGGAGGGAGGAGGGAGGAGAGGGGGGAGGAGAGCGGAGGGAGATAAGAGGAGGGAGGAGGGCGGCGACGGCGCTCATCAGGAGAACAAGCCGACACGGCTCACACACCAAGACGCAGACTTGCTCGCGC